GCACATCGCGTCATCATAGATAGGTATAGCGCGGGGCCAGACAATATGCAAACTAACCTCCGTGCGTACCTACACGTCATAAATATGTAGGCAGTGGCAGTACATGAGGTCACGTCGCGGCAGCGAATCAAATGGCACCGCCTTTAAACTGTCACTTTAAAAAACCTGCGTAGCCTCGTAGTGCGCAAGACCGTACGCAAATCACCGGCCAATAGCAGCCCTCCTCACCGGCTATGTAAATGTTCTATATTCAAATCAGTTTAAAATCAGAACGCGCATGCACGCGCCGGGCCTTTTTATTGGCGCTTTGCATACAAAGGGTTCCGCGGTCCCGGTATGACAGACACGTGTCGTTAAAAAACAAGGGTTGTCGTGTGAGGGGCACCAACCCTTCCGCAACCCTTCCACGCTGCAGCTGTTTTTTATCGCATCGTGTTAGTTGGTGCCACGCGACGTTACCATTTGACACGTTTTTGTGCCGAAATATTTTGTAGTCGTAGAGAGCGTCATTTAAATCGAATTGTAAAATGTGGCGCGCACACCTGGTGCTGGCTTTTGATGCCCGGCGTGATTTATTGCGAACACGCGGCCGTTGTAAACTGATATACATCTTACTACAATCGCAAGCTATGACAATACTTCATACGAGGTAGTGTGTTGGAGTTCATACTACGCAGGTATGTTCATTTCATTTCTTTTGTTCTGTCAATTGAACAAACAAATTTTAAAAATCGACTTTTTATAGGTAGAGTTTTCTATCAGTATTAATTCTTTCATTTTTATACAATGACAGTGTTATTAGATATTGGCAGTATACAACGAGGCCACCATTACTTAGTTGATAAAATTAATTGCCATAAAAGTGGATAGTTCACGTAAAAGCTCGGAAGAAGGCGTGTGCGCAAATATAGTTAGTGAGGTGTTACCAGACAATCAGCTAATGTGTGACGGTGTCGGGTTCCTGCGCCGGTGTGTACTGGCTGATGCCGAGCCATGGGGAACACAAACGACAGGCATTAGCACTAATTTAGAATATAGACAAAAAGTAAAAGAATAGTATCAACATTAAAGTATTCGTAACAAGTACCAAGCAATGCGCGCAGAATGTATTAATCGTCACAATAAACGATTGCCGACCGAGCACCGAGCAGCCGTCCAAACTAAATGTTTGCGAAAGAATGTCGTGTAAATATTGGATAATTGTAGCCATTAACGGTGAAATTGGCGATATGGACGCATTAAGCGCGGTTAATGTAGGAAATGAAATATCCGGCGCGACTGCTCGCCCGCCGCCGCCGGGCCCGCCACCGCTCCGTCCACACCCACAGCACCGACCTGTCTGCCTACTGCGTCCACAGTCATTCAAACACTACGTACTTACACTTTACACGAGCTTAAGACATGTCACTTGTATCAGATTAATTTTATTCTAACTTGTACTCTATGTACTAGCTAATCCACTAACAATCAGTCAGTCACTCTATTTTCTAAACTCTGTTACTAGAGTTTCATGTACTTGAATTATACATAATAACCGATGAATTGCAAATAATTTAATATAATCACTGAATAGCAGCGCATATGTTGTCAGTGTCCAGTGAGCCGCGAGCCTTACGTTTGACAAACATCGGAAACTGGCCATTTTTTCCCCGACCGAAGACCGATATAACGCAAATATCGTCGTTTTCTTGTATTTGCCTTCACTTTGCTATATTTGCCTGAAATTATTTTCAGAGATGTTTCATGTTACGGTGTACATATCGGGGAATAGACGACATTTACGTCAGTAAACGGATACGTTTTGTTACGCAGTTGGGTTTAACTTTGATACGTTTTCCTTATTGGCCCGCGGAAATGTGCGCGTGAAGTGCGGACGTAGTATACGTCGCCTCCCTGCTCTGCCTGCTAACTGGTGACCAAACATCAATGTCATATTGATGGTTCCCTTCGATATTTACTCAATTATATTTTGTGATTGCAATTTGGGCCGGAATCGACGTGACTTATTTTTTATCTAGTTTAGTTTCCATGGTTAGTTTTTAGCTATATCGTATCGTACAATCTGCATTATTGTTGTTTCGCTTAGGGCGGGATGTGTTCTGAATGCATCCACATTGACCACGTCAGTCATAGTTAGTGCAATTTATTTGAAATATCTTGAAAAGAGGTGTAGTCTGAAATAAAATTTTATCAGAAGTATAGGAACCGTGATAATTACTATATCAAATGACTGCACAGTTGGCGCGGTGGCTGGGCAGCTGGCTGTTACGCAACGTGTCGCAGGTTCGATTCCTGCCCGCAACAACTTTTTGTGTGATCTACAGTTTGTTGTTCCAGGTTTGGGTGTCATATGTATGTGAAATTGTATGTTTGTGAACGCATATGCGACATAGGAGAAAATCCTAGTGTGGGGCCTGTCCTAATCCTGTCTAAAAAAAAACTTAAAACGAACCAAGTGTTCCCCACAACAAAAATGTTCCCTCATGTACATACCGATAAGCTACTGTAATACTGTATTCTAGTAACAGAGGGAGGAGGTAGTGAGAGGGGGCGAGGGATGCAACCCTTTCCTCCGAGAGGGCCATCCATCACCAACGACTAGCGAAATGTATTTTAATCCACTGCCCCACGCCCGCCGCTTCATGAAACGTGAAAAATGATCCTACTGCACACACACAGCGCTCACTAAACGTCTCACACATTAGTGTGTGTGTGTGTGTGCGAATTGAGAAGTTATTGCGTGTTTGAAGAAATTATTTTACGTTCAAAGTGTTTACTCTGAGGAACATTGCTAACCAGGTTACTCCTGGTGCAGGAGAACGTTTGAATACATCATTTAGTTTGAACCGTCTCTAGCTACATTTTCCATTGACGTAACTTAATTTTGTTCAAAGGGCGATCTAAGTGAAATCCCGAGGGGTTTCTCAGCACTTTACTTCTATTATTTTATTATTCAGTCCTTTACCTGGTGCTGTAAATGGAGTGATGTCGAGTGGAATGCAAATACTCCGCTTACGTGTGACATGTGACATGTAAGGTGGGCACGGTAGTGCGGTGCGTGAACATGTTTATAGTTGGAAGCGGTCCCGCGGGCCGCACAGATTGCTGCGCGAGACTGGCGCAATCATTAATCATACACAAATTGTTGCGTCCCTTCGGCCTGTCCCTTGATATTTAAGCTTCAATTGAGCCAGTCATCTTGTGCCCTATTGAGAGCTATGGAGGAGAACGTTCTCTATCTCAGTGAAGTCAGTGACTGGAAGCGGAGTGAATGATGGGCCGCTTCTGTTGTATCGGCTAAACCAGCACCTTCTTTCATGTCACTGTGAAATAGCATTATAGAAACATGTAACCAGTAAAGTTAACGAGGATATCTGCTTCTTTGCAATCGTACTAGAACTGTCAGTATAAATGTATGCGTCCACGGTCCAGCATGCACACATGTAGCACCCGTGGTTTATGTCTCAATAGACGCGCGCGACCCCGCCACTCGAGTGACGTCATTGTCATAATAGTGAATGTTTTATTGTAACGTTATGCGCGCTATCTCTCCCTGGATTACTAAAACATCTGTCCCGGAAAATTCACTCTCGAGCCGTTTATCGGTTCCTCGAGGGTAGATAGAGAAAAAACTGCAATAACGCGGTGTCATAACAAAGACGCCGCCACCGGCCGATAATACTATGATTAATACCCGGCGTTATCTTGAGAGTGCAGGCCTCGCCCGCCCTGAGGAAACCGCACTCGTTACCAGCCCTTAAAAGTTATATGCGCCGCGTTGCTGAACTCAATTTCAACTCTAGCTCGAGGAAGGAAGGATGAAAGTTGAATGAAAGTATGGCTGTTTAAGGTATTCTCCGGAGCCGACATAAGAGTTACGGATTTCGCATAATGCATATTATATTCGTGCGGGCGAGGCTGTGAGGGTGCGAGCATGGAGGAGGCCGCGGGGGGCAGGCACGCGCGGGGCGAGGGGGCGGGGGGCGAGTGCTGGCGGGAGGGTGTCGGGCTGCAGGGGAGGACCGCGTGACCGCACGTCTTTTGCACGCGACAAGCTCTCGACATTTTTTTATTATTATTGCGCTTCGATGGAATTTATTCCAGCAAGGGTCGGTAATAGAATAGCGGCTACGCTCGTTTTGGCCCTAATAGCGATTTTGAATATCATTTTTAAATCACATAATGGAGTGTACTCGCCTTTTTAGAGTTATTTTTAAGGGGCGAGGGTCGTGAGCTGGGGCTATGAATATTGTGTCGGAACATTAGTGCAGGCCGAGCTGTTTATTGGAGCAGCTAACAAAGCAATAAACAACTGCTGGGCAGTCACTGTACCGAGCAGCAATGTACTGCCTAGGCAGGCTGCTGCGTGGCAGTGGAGTGGTAGTGGGTCGTGGCGGCGCTGCTAATATAATGCGTATAATTAATTTCGCGGTCCGCTGCCGCCGCCCGCCACAGATTAAACAAACGATTAATTGTGTGCCAATAAACGATGTTAATCTCAGCCTTCACCGGCAGGTGGCGGCTATTGTCAATAATCGCCGGGTAATATGTGCTGAGGTGGAGTGCAGCGGGCTGGTGTAATTATACCGAGCCGAGGGGGGCGGGGGAGGGAGGTGCGCTGTCCCTCCGAGGCAGAGCTCTCACTGTCATGTGCACTCATATTTATGTTATTTGTAGATGTATTGCACGTCCTCGTGTAGATATTATTAACATAATATGTTCTGAACAGCGGACCGGCACGCACCCAGTCTAAATAAAGCTAGATACCACAAAGGTTCCATTCAGCATCAAATCATAGATTCAATCTGTAGCATAACAAACGACAATCTCTTTGCTCCACACACGACATCGTTCATGGACACCTGTGTATGTGTGCGTAACACGCACACATCATGTGTATGTCATTCATCACCCACTCTATGCTACAACGTACATTATTTAATTAATCACTACTATTTACTACTTAGCAGTCACAACGTGAGTTGTCTGTTTGTCCTCAGGTTACTCAGTAACACAGTGAGAAGAGAAGCTACAGCTCATCTAGTCATGCTGCCTATAAACTCAGTCGCCACCATTAATTGATAGAAGATGTTTGTCATAGCACCCTCCACACTGCAGGTACATTATATGCTACACTATCATCTCTTGCTCAAATTAAGTACTTCATATAAAAATAATGCAATGGTTTCTTTTAATTTCTCGGTTGAGGTTCCTTATTGGTTCCACTAACTCCACATTTAATATTGAAATCTAAATAAGGGTCTAGCCACAATAATATTTCCAGGTAATGTCTAGAGCAGCAGGTGACAGGTGGCAACTACACGATGATGGAAGCTGAGCGTCATGTACGCGCAATATGACGCCGCTAACAACAGGTTGGTCGTAGCTGAATGTATATGTGGCCAGAACATACACTGGACTCACTGAACTAAAGATAAACAACATACATTTTTAGGTAAGATTCACTCATTTCATACGATTTCAAATAGGTATATAACATTTGTTTAGTTCACTACACAGATGGAAAATGTCAACAATAACCAAATATTTATTGCATACAGGTAATATATGAATGAGTAAACAGAACAGAAGTTAATAAATACAATATCAATTTATTTTTATTAATAGAAACTAATTAATGTTCCAGGGCGTAGCGTACTACGGCGTAGCACCGGTGGGCGCTACGTGCTACGAGCTACGAGCAGTCAAATGTTTAGTGAAGGTGCGTGAGTGTTTCATTACGCACGGACTAAAGTTACAGTTGGTTGTATTGTACGTATTACGTCGTAGCTAAACATAAATAAAGCTGCATCGGCTGCCTCAGCCCGTGCCAAGCACTCCATAAGATATATTCTCACCATCCTGAGCTGTGAGTGTACGATCGCCTAGTTAGACGTAAGTGTCGATACTGCGCTCTATACATCTTTTCTTCGCTTCCCAAGTGTGTGTAATGTCGCCGCGCTCTCCTGTATAAAACGGCCGATATAAAGTGACCTCTCGCAGCGCATTCTGTCACTCTCTCGTCGTAACGCTCACAATATGTCGCGAGAGGAGGTGCGGCTCTAGTTATGCTGGTAATGGATCGTACATATTTCTGCAATTGATTAGACGGGGGCGGTTGCCATGGTGACGGGCTGCACCGGCCCACCCCCGCGTCCCGCGCCCCGCGCACACGCGGAGCGGCCGCGACATCTCTCATTGTGCAAGAAATAAGTAATGTATTTATCCAGACATACTTTTCTAGCTCGCACCTACATGATGACGACTGACACATATCTAGGTACAACACATGGCCAGTCCGCTCACACACGCACTCAGTCACTGACTCCACGAAGCAATGGATATTTATTGGCAACCAACTCACTGCAATACTAGCCATGATCTCCGGCAAGTGAATACGGCATAAAATATATTAACGTATGATTTTGTAACAATCCCACAATATTAGCAGTTCCTACGAATCAGGTTATAGCGGTAATTATTATTTATTAATGGTTTAACACAGCAATTAAATCCGCCATATATAAATGTTTATTGCGGGTCCGTCACGCTTTCTTACTGCGATACAATTGGCTTTGCTCCCAACATATTGCCGATTTTACTAAAAAACTGTACGAAGGAAAATTGTAGATATTATATTCAGGCTGCAACGAAATTGTTCGATACACTCATTGTATAAAAGGTCTGTGATTCTGATCGTCTATTGTGAGTGGTACAGTCGACGAATGCTTGGCAGACATATTGAGAAGCTTATTCCTTTCACTACTATCACGTTGATAATTTATTCGGGATATAAAAACTTGATTAGATACAAATGAAATGATGATAGCTGCAAAAGTTTCGTAACTATACAGTAGTCAAAGTCGAAATAATTTATTTAAATTAGACCAAGAAGGCACTTTTGAACGTCAACAAAAAAATTCAAAGTAAAGCTACTTGCTCATTCCAAGATGTAGATTCCTATAGAGAAGACTGAGCAAGGAACTTCATAGGTTACTCTTTTTCAATCAGGTTCACAATGCGATTATCTAGTTACATAGATTTGTGGGTGAACAATGTAACACCAAAATCCAGTCAAAGAGATCGATTGATAGATAGTGTTTCAGATATCTAAGAAGTTATTATACTTCAAGTCGAATATGCGTAGCAAATATAGTACAAACCTACACAGTTTCTTTATAATGTTTATAAACACAATATAAATACGTATCTACTACAGCTGTAAGGTACCTACTAACAAAATTTATCGGTAATTCCGAATGGCGACAACAATGTGTAGTTAGTAGTACAAGCTCGGGGCACGATCACTATATTGTCTCCGTTCGACGCCGGTGCAAATCCTAAATCTCGGAATGCAATAAAGGCGAGTTCGCCGCCACAGCGAGATATTTTCAATCAGCTGAACGGAGCCAATCGAATACCTGTCTTAATTGCCGGCAGTAATGGCGCTGCCGATTGTCTGCGAGCCTCTAAAATAGGGTCCCGAGGCCCGGAAGCCATACAGTTTCAAGTTAATTTCCTCGCTGGAGGCTAATCCGCCAGCCTAATTATGACCCCCTAGCGCCCCCTGCACCCCACCTGCCGCCTCGATTGATTCAATGATCCTTCGTCTGGTGACTATGCTACATGTAAGTACTGCACCGAACTGTCAGTGTGTACTGTCATACTGATTACTTTAATGTGATAGTCACGTAACATTGTACAGACTTTCACTATTGTAAAACACTACATATTGAGTGTTTTGTTTAAGCAAAGGTATGATAAAAATCTCAGGTTTTTATTACATTACATACTTTAATGTTTTAAAAAAGTTAGTAATGTTGACGTGTTACAGCCATTAAGGAAAATGTTTTCCTGACCTATTAGATACAATGCTGATGTTATCGCTAATATTATTCAATTCGTTGATAGTTCACTGTGATACGCTAACTGCTCGTAACTCGACTTAACCAAACTACTTTTCCTTGTGTTTAACGAGGAAATTAGTTTTATATATTATTGCCTTCGCCTGTTGTAGTACAAAGGCGATTTTTACAATAATGTACTTTGAAGACTTCTATGAAGAAATAAAAGGAGATAACAAAGAAATTCCAATTGATAGCCGTCCCATGGTTCCAAGAATGCGATATGAAGGATCAGAGTCCACTTATAACACCTGAATGAGCTTGAAAATCACATCGAATCCATAAGCTCTCGACACGGTCCGTGGAGCAAAGCGGCATTTACATGGAGTCCCCACTCCTCGTCGGACTCAGGCCGGACCTACCGTAACGAGCAGCTAAGTGTCGCGAGAGGCTTAATTACGCGCCCGGGGCGGCGGGGCGCGCGGGGGTGGGGGGCAGGGGGTGCCGTCTGCCGAGGGATGCGCTCGCAGATGAGTGGGGAGCAAACTCTTTGTTTATCGTGATGTGCTCAGACGGACTGAGATATCAATTAGTTTTGACTCATTCTTTTGTTCCTCTGCCCGTCTCCCTGTCAAACTTTTAGCTCTGGCTAGACAACTTGCAGAAGCACTCAACTACATCATTTAATTACTAGAACATACTGTATGGTTTATGTATCAGTATTGATTGCCTGCTCACAGTAAATACGCTCTAATATGAATATAAATACGTCAACAATTAGATTTTGCAGGCAGTTAGGCATATAATTATGTACTTTCATTTTACGATAAACGAGAAGTTGATAGATAGATCTTATCTTTTGTTGGAAAATTTAACCGGACCGTTTAATAAAATCAGTATATTTTTTATAATGTGCACTTGTTCGTAGACGCTACAGCATGAACAACATCCAACAATTTTGGGTGTGAATACATTTTGCCACTCTAATCCGGGAAACGAGTAATTCTTGTAAATGTACCCTAAACGTGTGCATGTATCGACCGGACCGGGGGAGGCGGCACGGACGCATCTCATCAGCTTATGCAAATACACGGCGACACGTCCCGGGGGAGCGCGGCGTGCGAGTGACGCGCGAGCGTGCGATATCGATCGCTGCAGCGTGCTAATGTATGCACGGCCCCTCACTACGCCGGCATCAACGGCATATGCACTGCACGGTGCAGCATTAGTACATGGCAGGGGGACTCATCATCAATTCTAAATGTGCAATATGGATTCTGAACTTTAGTTTCAAATCAATAAATTGTGTGTTATAAAATCAATATTGCCTACTACTGCCCGTACATTGCCTGTAGGTGTCGTGGTAGCTCACCAAGTCGTTCCCATTACGTTGAGGTCAATCAAACCGTGTGGTTACGGCTATAGTTAATATTTCCAAGACACAAGTTATATGTACGAGTCGCTTCACAACTTAAATCTTTCATAAACCGCTATAATAATAAATTTAAGTGCGTTTTACAGCGGTCGTGCCCGGTCCGGTGTCGCCTCGTGCCGTACGACGCCGGTCCGAGCCGTCGCTTTATTAAATGACCTTCTTTATTAGCTGTTTAACGCCGTTCCGATATTGGAACGGCGTTTATGTACGGTTTAATGCTTTAATTTTTAATATTGTGTAATTAACGCGAATGTTACGCTCTCGGATTCACGGAACTTTTAATTGTACTTATATCTTCGTTCAGCTTTACTGCCATCTTTGGACTTTAAGGTGAGAATCGTTCGTGACTCTTTGCTACGAGTGTAGGCAATGTGATGGAGTTTACAGTTTAACTCCACTAGCTTATACTTAATATAAAACAATATGATATCTAATGCACGTAATACTGGTACACGTCGAATAAATCAATTACAACAAAATATTTAAAAATATTCGACTGTAAATAAAAAATAACCAGCCGGATTGACCGCAAAGTTAAAATTTGTTGAGTAACGTATAACGGTATAAGTATTACAATTAATTAATTCATAAAAAACATAAC